GAGGAGGAGGAGGAGGACTGTGGGGTCCTTGGTGCTCTCTGAGCTTGGTGGTTTTCTTGCAGATGGAGGAGGAGGAGGAGGAGGAGGACGACTGTGAGGTCCTTGGTGCTCTCTGAGCTTGGTGGTTTCCTTGCAGACATTTCATTACCCCAACTAGATATCATCAGTGCTAGAGGGTAATGAAATGTCGCAAGAAAACAACCAAACTCAGAGAGTGCCAAAGACGACGACGACCTCCTCCTCCCAGATCCCACTCTCTTCTAGCACTGATGATGTCACCTAGTTTGGTGACATCTGCAAGGGATGCACGTCCTCCTCCCCACTTGCAAACACAAGTCGAAGGCTGAAATGGAGCCAGACAAGGGAGTTAAACCTGGGTGATCAAACATGGAGATGGCGACAAGAGAGCCTAGCTTCCATCTCCCTGGAAAGGAAAAGGATATTTTGGGACAGTTGGTCCTTAGATTGGACAGATGCCAGACCCTCATGGCATTCCTTGGCCAGCCTTTGCAAACATCCTGGGAGAAGTTTAACATTCACGACCAAACTTTATTGATTTAATAAAATAATAAGGTTGTCCACAACCTGTCTAGTCTGCCCTTAGACACAGAGGAAAAATAAATACATAACATGAAGAAAATATGTTGGGCTAGCCACTGTCTGTCAACTGGCCAAATAGTTCTGTAAGCTTTACAGTTTCCTCTGTAGTATAACGGTAGGTGAGGAAGGAAGAAATGCCGTTTTAAAATGCATTTCCCTCCCCGAGAATGAGGGAAAGCTGCCTCCAGTTTTGTCCTATAGCAAGGATAGGCAACCTTGGCTCTTTTATGACTCGTGGACTTCAACTCCCAGAATTCCTGAGCCAGCATGGCTGGCTCAGGAATTCTGGGAGTTGAAGTCCACGAGTCATAAAAGAGCCAAGGTTGCCTACCCCTGTCCTATACTGATGTTTCTCACAATTTTTCATAGATTTTCAGCTGCTGGGCAATTTGCTCACAATTCTCACCCTCTTTGTGGTGACATCCTTATAAAGGGACACAACTGCCGCCGCCCTTCCTGGGGAGCCCG